GTAATTTAAAATACAGTGTCACCAGAGGCCACAAGTGATTTCAGGACTTTCTGATTTTACCTTAGTGTTCAATTAGGACCATGTAGTAGAATGATTTTTAGGGAATTATTTTAAGGTGAATAAATAAATGGAAATTCTGAATTTTAATTTCTAATTTGGTAAATTTCAGTAGATACAACTCATGTAAACAGAAGCTCTTTGGGGTCAAAGTGTAAAGGGGCCTTGACACAAAAACATTTAAAAACCACTTTTTTTTCTTTTTTTTTTTGAGATGGATTCTCACTCTGTCGCCCAGGCTGGAGTGCAGTGGCATGATCTAAGCTCATTGCAGCCTCTGCCTCCTGGGTTCAAGCAGTTTTCCTGCCTCAGACTCTTGTATAGCTGGGATTACAGGCGCCTGGCTCCGTGCCCGGCTAATTAAAAAAATCACTTGTTTAGATTAGTTGTATCATAGGATATTAAAGAAAATCTTGACCTAGGAATGAAAATCAAGAGCAGATTTTGTATATTGAGTTACTACTCAGCCATGAAAACGAATGAAGTCATGTATTTGCAGCAACATGTATGGACCTGGAGGTAATTATCTTCAGTGAAATAACTCAGAAACAGAAAATCAAATAACACATGTTCTCTTACAAGTGGAGGCTAAATAATAGAGTGTGGGTAATAGACATTGGAAAAGCAGAAGAGTGGAGGGTGGGATGAGGGTGAAGGATGAGAAATTACTTAATATAATGTACATTATTCAGGTGATGATTACACTAAAGGCCTAGACTTCACTACTGAGCAGTATATTCATTTAACAGAATAGCCTTTTACCTCTGAAATTTATACAAATACAAATAAAAGTATTAGAAAATTAAATGAAGCATTTTTGTGACTTACCAAATATATATATATTTTTGAATTGTGTAATCAGGAGACTGGAACCTACTGAAAGACCTCTTCAGATCGTTTATGATTACTTATCCAGGCTGGGATTTGATGATCCTGTGCGTGTACAGGAGGAGGCTACAAATCCTGACCTCGGCTGTATGATTCGATTTTATGGGGGTAAGAATTTATCAGTGGCTTTTTATGTTAACTACTTTTAAGTTGATCATTTGTGTCTCTGTCTGCCGTCAGCTTTTTCAAAGTATTTTATCAAAGACTAGTTTTAAGCCAATTAACTAATGTAGTTAAAACCAACCAAGCAACAAATCCAAGAGGTCAGGGGTAAGAGAATATTTAAAAATATGAACCTAAAATATCTTCCCTTTTTATTTTTGCTCTTTTTGCCCTTGTGTTTTGCTAACCTTACTAGCAGTATTTTATACCTTTGCCGGAATCTTGACTGGATCAAGCTTTGGTAAATTATTTTTTCAAGCTCCTGGTAAAATCTGAACTTCTGGATAGCTCAAAAATGTTGAGAGTAAGTAGTCATCATTATATATGACTTGACATTGATGAATATACCTGTCAAATTTGTATATTGGTGAATTTAGTGGGCTTTAAATCTAGGATTTTTGACTCTTCTGAGAAAAATATTTTAAGATGAATTTGAGGAACACAACCCATCTATCACTATAATAGTTAAGAAAACAAAAACTTGAAACAGTAATATGCTTCATATCTGATTGTGGTTGAACCCTAGTTCTTCATTATGGTAGTCTCCCCTTATCCGCAGGGTTTGTGTTCCAAGATCCCTAGTGGTTGCCTAAAACCACAGATAGTACTTTGTATATAATATGTGTTTTCTTGTACACACATACCTATGGTAAAGTTTAATTGATAAATTAGGCAAAGTAAGAGATTAACAATCATAAGTAAGTGAATGTTCTCTCTCTCTCTCAAAATATCTTGTACTGTACTTACCTATTTTCAGACCATGATTAATTGCAGATAACTGAAACCTTGGAAAGCAAGACCACAGGTGGCAGGGACAGGGAAGGGCTACTGTGTATATTTTTATTCTAGAATGCAAGTTGAACCATTATTTTACATTCAGTTATACTGCACAGTGGTTGGCTCTGATACCCTTATTTTCCTACCACCACCTGATAAATTAGAGCATACGCAGCATCTTAATATACTATACCCTTAAGAGGATATTTCTAGTACAGTCTAAAAGAATACCAGTTTGTAGTACTACTTAAATTTTGAGGGATCTTTCCAAGAGTTAAGCTCTATTGACATAGAGAAACTGGTATAGTTTGAGTGAGAAAATTAAGTTTAGAATGAAACTTTTAAAGTTAATAATCTTTGAAAATAGGCAATAATGGATCTGGTACCAAAAATAAAAGATAGATAGCTAGATGGACAGATAGATAGATGAATTAGTTATCTGTTGGCTCTGTAACAAATTGCCTCAAAACTTTGGACTTAAAATGATAATAAATACTTTTAAAACAGTTTTTAGGCCGGGCGCGGTGGCTCAAGCCTGTAATCCCAGCACTTTGGGAGGCCGAGGCGGGTGGATCACGAGGTCAAGAGATCGAGACCATCCTGGTCAACATGGTGAAACCCCGTCTCTACTAAAAATACAAAAATTAGCTGGGCATGGTGGCGCATGCCTGTAGTCCCAGCTACTCGGGAGGCTGAGGCAGGAGAATTGCTTGAACCCAGGAGACGGAGGTTGCGGTGAGCCGAGATCGCGCCATTGCACTCCAGTCTGGGTAACAAGAGCGAAACTCCGTCTCAAAAAAAAAAAAAAAAAAAAAGATTCACTTTCAACACAGTTCACTCACATGGCCTCACTTCCTCACCACTGCTGGTAGGAGGCTTCGGTTCCCTCTTCTATGGATCTTTGCATAGGGCTTCCTAAGTGTCTTTACAACATAGTGGCTAGTTTCCCCAGTGAAGAGACACATACAACATAGTGGCCAGTTTCACAGAGGTGTGTGCAAGCATCTAGGTGTCTTCACAACATAGTGGCCAGTTTCCCCAGTGTTGAGATACTTCACAACATAGTGGCTAGTTTCTCCATTGATGCATGCACATGCACAGAGGCCTCAGTGTCTTTTATGACCAAGCTTCATAAATCACCTTTACTTTTACCACTTTTTATTTATTAAGAAATGAGTCACTAAACATAGCTTATACTACAGAGAGAAGAATTAGCTCGTTTTTGAAAGCAGGAGTGTCATAACTTGTGGGTCTATTTTTTCTTTTTATTTATTTATTTATTTATTTTTTGTATTTTTAATAGAGACGGGGTTTCACCATGTTGACCAGGATGGTCTTGATCTCTTGACCTCGTGATCTACCCGCCTCGGCCTCCCAAAGTGCTGGGACCATAGGTGTGAGCCACTGCGCCCGGCCCCCTATTTTTCCTTTAATTTTTAAATTTTCTTTGAGACAGGGCCTCACCCAATTGCCCAGGCTGTAGTGCAGTGGCACCATCATGGCTCACTGTAGCCTAAACCTCCCAGGCTCAAATGATTCTCCCCTCTCAGCCTCCCAAGTAGCTGGGACTACATGTGCACACCACTGCACCTGGCTAATTTTTATAGAGCTGAGGTCTCACCATGTTGCCCAGGCTGCCCTCAAACTCCTGGGCTCAAGTGATTCCCACCTTGGCCTTCCAAAGTGCTGGAATTACAGATATGAGCCACGATGAGCAACTGGATCTGTATTAAAACTGATGCAGGATATTTTCTTGACCCCTTTATGGGACTTGTGACAGGGGTGCCCTATTTACTCAGCCCGCCCTGCTCAACCCCTTGTGGGAGGGAATGCATGGGCAAATGAGTGTGCATTTGCGCTGGTGGGAACAAACCATGTTCACTGGGGTCTGTCATGCTCCATCCTTTGTGGGACATAGCACATAGGAGAGTGAGTGCAGGAACTGGCTGCCTGCTTTAGCACCAGCAGAAGCAAACTCCATGCAGGCCCGTGGCAGCATCCAGGTGGGATTATCTGTGATCCCAAGACCCCTGTTATAATGCTTTCTTAGCTCTGTCATCTGCAGACAACAGTGTGTTACCAGCTCGGTGGGCCCTTTGCCTTGTTGTGTAGGACAGCTCCCCTCCACCAGTGAGGGCAAAGGGCCAATGTGGCAGCCTTTTGAATACTGGCACTTGGTGCATCCCTAATTCTTGTCTGGTGCCCAAGAGGAATGAGGTCATGTGGACAAATTGAAGGATGGTGAATGGAGAATTTTATTGAGTGATGAAAGCAGCTCTTAGTGAAGAGGGGAGCTGGGAAATGGATGGGAAGGGCAGGTCACTTTCCCTTGAAGTCAAGTCTCCTCTCTGCCTCCGTCTTCTGAAGTCTAGTCACCTCTGCCTAATGTCCAGCTGCTTCTCTTCTCTACTGGCTGAGTCTGGGGTCTTAATCGGCACAGGATGGGAGGTGGGGACTGCTGTAGGTAGTTTTTGAAAAGATAATATTCAATTGGTAAAAAGACATTACTCAGAAAGAACCATTCAGTGGAGAGCAGACACACAGGGTTGGAAATTCTCACTTTGGGTCACAAGTTTCAGTCTTTTCGGCTTGAAGGTGGGCTTTTGCTGGGACCAGCCCCTGTCTGCCTAGAATTTCTCTGCCTCCTGCCTCTGTCAAAACTATCTTAGAAAATATGCTTCCCTCTCACCTTTTTCCACCAACCACCCAGTTCCTGAAACCAGACACAACTACTTTTAACTGAAGGTAAGACTTGAAGTATTCTCTTTGAAGTAAATAGCTTAGTAATCATCTTTAAATCTTTTATGTGTAGAATTTTTGTTGAGTCAGCTTAGTTGGAATATAGTGTTAATAAGGTCAAGGTCATAAGGTCCTAAGTGCAAACCAGTTAATGTTGTGTTCCCTGGTTGTAAAAGGATGTTAGATAGTGTCCCGGTCAGCCATTATGCAAATGCCAGTTATCAGTCTTGCTAGAGAGGGAGTAGGGGGTGGGAAGTGAGTGGAATGACTCTCTCAGTTCAAATTCATAATAAAAAGCTGTGGAAAGAACATTTCACTAAAGTCAAGTTGAGTAGGTAGCATGAGCAATCGTGGGATTAACAGAGCATGTAAATCCTCTGCAGCCAGTTAAGCTGACTGAGTTCCTTTCCTCATTGGGGCCCAGTGTGCAGTGGCTACAAACAGCAGCTGCCTTGGTAGTGTACTCAGCCTGTTTCTTACATGGTTTGCTCTAAGGGACCTTGGAGACAGGCCTTTCAGATGTATGTTCATGTCCTGACTTTGCACTATCCTTAATCTGGGCTCCAAACAGGTGTGCAAGGTGCCTTTGGAAAGACCCAGGGCAGTGTGGCCGGAGTTCACAATGGCTGAGTTATGTTCATCCCCACCAAGCTGCAGAACAAGGAACATGTGATTGATGCCATACTCAGGGCCAAGTTGAAGTTCCCTGGCCACCGGAAGATCCACATCTCTAAGAAGTGGGGCTTTATCAAGTTCAGTGTAGATGAATTTGAAGACATGGTGGCTGAGAAGCAGCTCATCCCAGATGGCTGCGGGGTCAATTGCATCCCCAGTTGTGGCCCTGGGAGGACTTCCACTGTGCTGCCCCCTCTTAATGCTCACCAATAAATCCTACTTACTGTCCACCTAAAAAAAAAAAGAGAGAGAGAGAAAGAGAAAATCCCTTATTTGCATCGGAAGAAGTGTCATTTAGAGGGTATGATTTGTGAGGAAAGTTGTAGCTCTGGGACTGTATAGCTCAGGTAGCACAACACCCTGCCTGAACATTTCTCTGTGTACTACATTCTCTGGACGTGTTGATAAAACAGTTTTGTCAAAAGAGCATAAATACAAACATCAGAAACGAGACAAAGAATTACATCGTATGTTTCCATTCATTTAAAGTTCAAAAGACAGGTTAAACACAGCCGTATTGTTAGGAAATGTGTGGCAATACTATTGTTAATCAGAATCTGTTCTTTCATAATAACAAAATTGTAGTGGGGCATATAACTGCCCAGCTATAGCCCATTTCCCAGCCTCTCTTGCAGTTAAGTGTGTCCATGTGACAAAATTTTCTTCCATGGTATGGGGTAGACTTGATGTGTGCTACTTCTGCCTGGTTCCAAAAACCCCCGGTGTGTGCTTCTCAGTGCTTTTATGCTCTTTTCCTCTATGGTGGGCTAGGATGGCAATAATCAGAGCAATATTAGAAGTCAAATGTGGAAGATGGCAGAAACTGAGTTTCTTTTTCTTTTTAATTAATTAAACTAATTAATTAATTAATGTATTTATTTTTGAGACAACGTCTTGCCGAGGGTGGAATGCAGTGGTGCCCTCTGGCTCACTGCAACCTCCACCTCTCGGACTCAAGTAGTTCTCGTGACTCAGCCTCCCAAGTGATTGGGATCACAGGCACCTGCCGCTACACCCAGCAAATTTTTGTATTTTTAGTAGAGACTGGTTTCACATGTTAGCCAGACTGGTCTCGAATTCAAGTGATCTGCCTGCCTTGGCCTCCCAAAGTGCTGGGATTACAGGTGTGAGCTACCACTCGCGGCCAGGCTTTAAAATTTTTACTAATCTGATGGATAAAATGATGGTCTCTCTGTTTAAATTTTTTTTCCAAATCACACTGTCATGTGTGTACCTGTGCAATAATCTTGCATGTTCTTCACGTGTACCCCAAAACCTAAAATGCAATTAAAAAAAAATTTTTTTCCCCCTTACTACTAGTGTGGTTGAGAATTATTTCATATTGTTATTGGATCTTTTGATTTCTTCTTCTTTGAGTTACTTACTGATATTTTTATACATCTTTCTGTTTCTCTTTTTTCATATTGATTTTCAAGGACTTCTGCATGTATTCTGAACATATATCCTTTGGGTACTATATTTGTGACTCGGTTTTTTTCCAGCCTGTAACTTTTAATTTTATTTATTACTTTTTATTGTGCATAAGTTTTAAAGTTTTATTTAGTCACTATTTTTTTATTTTTGAGACGGCACCTCACTCTGTCGCCAGGCTGGAGTATAGTGGCATGATTCAGCCCACTGCAACCTCTGACTCCTGGGTTCAAGCGATTCTTCTGTCTCAGCCTCCCGAGTAGCTGGGACTACAGGTGCATGCCACCACGCCCAGCTAATTTTTGTATTTTTAGTAGAGACAGGGTTTCACTATGTTGGCCAGGATGGTCTCAATCTCTTGACTTTGTAATCTGCCAGCCTCAGCCTCCCAGAGTACTGGGATTATAGGCGTGAACCACTGTGCCCTGGCCTTTAGTCACTGTTTAGTCAATTTTTTTTTTTTTTTTCGAGATGGAGTCTTGCTTTGTCACCCAGGCTGGAGTGCAATGGCACGATCTTGGCTCACTGTGATCTCCGCCTCCTGGGTTCAAGAGATTCTCCTGCCTCAGCCTCCCAAGTAGCTGGGATTACAGGCATCTCCCATAGTGCCTGGCTAATTTTTCTATTTTTAGTAGAAATGGGGTTTCACCATGTTGGTCAGGCTGGTCTCGAACTCTTGACTTCAGGTGATCCACCCACCTCAACCTCCCAAAGTGCTGGGATTATAGGCATGAGCTACCACACTCAGCCAGTCAATTTTAAAAATTATTTTGTTATTTTTGAGACAAAGTCTTGCTGTTTTCGCCCAGGCTGAGTGCAGTGGGTGATCTTGGCTCACTGCAACTTCTGCCTCCTGAGTTCAAGAGATTCTCCTGCCTCAGATTCCCGAGTAGCCAGGATTACAGGTGCCCACACCAGGCTAATTTTTGTTTTTAGTAGAGATGGGGTTTTGCCATGTGGGCTAGACCGGTCTCAAACTCCTTGCCTCAAGTGATCCAACCACCTGGGCCTCTCAAAGCACTGGGATTACAGGTGTGAGCCATTGCACCTGGCCAGATTTTTACTAATATACGTATGTGATGTATTTTGCTAGCTGATAGTGAAATTTTCTGTCAGTGTTCTTCTCTGGAAAATCAGAGATGTCTAGAAATTGGAGAAGTCTTTGTGAAAAAGCTGTGTTTGAGTTGGTTCTTTAAAAACTGAGTGTTTCTACAAGCAGGAATGAAAAAGGCAATGGTGGGAGATTAGAAATTACATTGCATGTTTGTGAATCACAGTTTGAGTCCAGATTGTTTTGGGCCATGGGTGCTCCATCAGGAGTTTAGCCATAATTTGGCAGATGATAGCAGAAAGTGATGGGATCCAAGTGTGCCCAAGGAAGACAAATCTGTTGCCAGTGTGGATGATGATTTAGATGTAAGGATCTGATCTAGGGATTAGAAAGGAATTGTTCATATGAGAGACTTTTTGAAAGAGTAATCACTGAGACTTTGATGGTTGATTGAAAAGGGAAGTTGAGAAAGCAAACCCAAGAGTTGAACCTGCTTCTGAGATTTTGAGCGTGGGTGACTTCAGGAGATGAGCTTGAATTGTGAGAAGGAGCTGCTGTTGTGCAGGGATGGGAGATGGAGTCTAGCTCTGTCTCCCAGGCTCTAGTGCAGTGGTGCTATCTTGGCTCACTGCAACCTCCAGCTCCTGGGTTCAAGCTGTTCTCCTGCCTCAGCCTTCTGAGTAATTGGGATTACAGGCGTGTGCCACCCACCATGCCCAACTAATTTTTTTTTTTTTTTTTTTTTTTTTGAGATGGAGCCTCACTCTGTTGCCAGGCTGTAGTGCAGTGGCATGATCTCGGCTCACTGTAACCTCCTCCTGGGTTCAAGCAGTTCACCTGCTTCAGCCTCCTGAGTAGCTGGGACTACAGGTGCCCACCACCACGCCTGCCTAAATTTTGTGTTTTTAGTAGAGATGGGGTTTCACCATGTTGGCCAGTCTGGTCTCAAACTCTATACCTCAGCTGATCTGCCCGCCTCGGCCTCCCAAAGTGCTGGGATTACAGGCATGAGCCACCGCACCCAGCCTAATTTTGTATTTTTAGTAGAGACAGGGTTTTACCATGTTGATCACGCTGGTCTCGAACTCCTGACCTCGTGATCTGCCCACCTTGGCCTCCCAAAGTATTGGAATTACAGATGCTGGGCAGGCATGTTGAATTTTAAGTGATGGTAAACATGCAGTTGGAGATATCTGGATTGTTGGAAATGTGGAACTAGAGTTTAGGAATATAGATTTGGGAGAATCAGACTCTGAGAAAGGTGGAATTTAGAATATAGTCGGCCGTCCATATCCACAATGGATCAAAAATATTTAAAAAATGAAAAAAATAAAAAATATAGCATAACAACTATTTACATAACATTTACATTGTTTTAGGTATTATAAGTAATCTAGAGATGATTCAAAGTATACAGGAAGATGTGTGTAGGTTATGTGCAAATACCACTTTGTTTTGTATGAGAGACTTCAGCATCTATGGATTTTGGTATCCTTGGGGGTTCCTGGAATCACTCACCTGCCAATAACAAGGAATGACTGTGTAGATGAAAGGATTGTCCTAAAGTAGAAGGAGAAATGATTATCCCATATAGTGTATTAACATACAAAATTTTATTGAATAATGCGGTTTTAAGGCTTTGAAGTAATCTAGCTCATTTCCTCATATTATATTTGGGAAACACATGGTTAAATAGGCAAAGTTTACCTAGGCTTGTATAATCAATTATGTGATAATATCAGGAGTATAACCCAGTTTTTCCAACTTCTGGGTTACTGTTTGCACCACCTCATACTGCTGCTCCTGCTCATTTCTGTGTATAGTTGTCTTTTTTTTTGTTTTAAGAAACAGGGTCTTTCTATGATGCTCAGGCTGGCCTTGAACTCCTGGGCTCAAACAGTCTTCCAGCCTCAGCCTCCTGAGTACCTGGACTACAGGTGCACACTGATTTTAATGGTGCTTTTACCAAGAACTTCATGTCTTTCCTGTTTTAATGTGGTGATTTGTTTACTGTATCTCAGTCATATGAAGGCCTCTGATGGGAAGTAGAATTTCCATCACCATGATTGGAATAGTTGATTAAAGTACCACACGTGAGCTTTTCCATGTTAGTAGCAGAGAGATGGAGGATTATGTACAAAATTAGAGTACTCCTATAGTTACTGATTTCTTCCTTCTAGAATAGACTAATAACAGTAGTGGTTGTCATTTATTTCGTGTTCCTTTTGTACCGAAAACTATGCTTAGTATTTTATATTAATTATTTTAATTTTATAAGAATCTCCAGAAGGTAGGTTGCGTTAAGATTCAAACTGTATAAATGAGTAAAGGTTAATGGGAATAAATAGTTCAAGG